GATGGGCCAGTAAAAAATAAAACTCCTGCCATATCAGTAATGAAACCAAGAGGCAAAAGGTGACCTAGAGTGTTCTCAGAGCCCAGCTGGCAGAGCTCAGTGCTTGGTTTAGTTGATTTACTTCGCTAGCTGGCTTATGCTAACGTGCGGGTTATAAATCATGCTGCGTGAGTGCAAGTCAGACTCATTTCTTTTATGTCTGACCTTTAATTCACCTCGTATCCTAGTTATTATTTGGAGTTTGAATAGCGATGAGGGATGTTAGGAGCCTCTTTATATATATATAAACAAGAGTCCACGAAGGAATTAAAAATCTCTGGGCCTGGAAGGACTAAGTGCAGTGAGAGTCAGGAAGCATTATATTGTGACCTTTACTTATAACTGTCTAACTCTTTGTGTAGCCTTACAAGACATGCCAATGAGGCAGTGTGGTCAGTGAATTGGGCACTAGACAAGGGCTCAGGGAACCTGGGTTTTAATCCCATTGTGTAACATTGGCCATGTCACCTCTGTTTCCTTTTAGCACACATATAGTGCTGGGTGGGAAACCGCTTTCTCATCCCATGAGAGATTTTTGACATTTCAAATTTTCCATCCCAAATTGGGACATTAAATTAAAAATGTCAAACAAATGTCGCAAACCAAAAATCCAAAAAAGGCTTTTGGTTCAGGTCAATCAGAATGGTTCATTTTGATTTCAACCTACCTCCGCCCATTTATCCGTGAAAATTCATTAACATTTCAAAACAAAAAGTAACTTTGACTAAAAAAAACACCAACATTTTTCCGTTCTACAATCTCAAAACTTGTTTTAAAACCAAAAATGTTTCAATTTGTGAGTTTAATTGAACCAGATACTATTTCACAAACCATTCTGGTTTTGACAAATCAGCATCTTTTGGCTAAAAAAAAAAAGGTTTAATTGAAAAATTCACGACTGGCTCTGAACACAATCTCAGTTGAGGCCTTCAGATGCTACCATAATATAAGTAAATAATAATGTGCCTTGATCTTGTTTATTTCACTGGTTGCTCACTGGGGTAGTACGATGTAATAACTATAAGGTGCCTGTGAACGGGGCCAGCTCTAGGCACCAGCAAAACAAGCAGGTGCTTGGGGCGGCACATTTCTAGGGCGTCATTCTGGCGCCGGTCCTGCCGCCCCTAGAAATGTGCCCCCGCCACCCCAGCTCGCTTCCGCCTGCTCCCCTGAGCGCACCGCCGCTGCTCCACTTCTCCACCCCCACAGGCTTGCCGCGCGAAACAGCTGTTTGGTGCGGCAAGCCTGGGAGGGAGGGAGGAGAAGCCGAGCTGCGGCGTGCTCAGGGGGAGGCGGCGGCGGCAGTGGAGCGGAGGCGAGCTGGGGCAGGGAGCGGTTCCTCTATCCCCTCTCCCCCGTTACTTCCTGCGCTCCCCCCAACCCTCGCTCACCTCCGCTCCGCCTGCTCCCCTGAATGCGCTGCCTCTCCCTCGCCTGAGAGGGAGGTGGAAGAAGCAGAGTGGCGGCATGTTCAGGGGAGCAGGTGGAGCGGAGGTGAGCGAGGGTGGTGGGGGGAGCGCAGGAAGTAACGGGGGAGGGCGGTAGAGGAACCACAGGAAGCAATGGGGGGGGAAATGCGGCACGCCCGGGGGAGCAGGCGGGGCCGGGGATTTGGGGAAGGGGTTGGGAAGGGGCAGAGTTGGGCGGAGCCAGGGGCGGGGAGGAGGGCACACCAAAAAAGCCGGGGCGGCCAAAATTTTTTTCGCTTGGGTCGGCAAAAATCCTAGAGCCGGCCCTGCCTGTGAAGGTACTGGGGCATCAACCATACAGTCATAGTCCAACACAGCATAAAAGGGCCAAAGAATGGCTGCCCTTCTGTGGCTGTATAAAGGGAAGGGAAAGGAAAGGACATGGGCAGTGGTGAGCTGGAGCCGGTTCGCGCGAACCGGTTGTTAAATTTTGAAGCAGTTTTAGAACCGTTTGTTAACCCGCTTCCTTGAAGGGGGTGCTGAGGCTTTGGTGGGCTCCGGCCGGGAAGTGATGTAATTCCTCCTCCGGCCGCCGGGGGCGCTGCGCTGCGGGAGTCATGTGGGCTGCCGCCGGGCCCTGGGCACGAGCCCTGGTGCTGCTGCTGCTCCCCCGACCCCTGGCCTTGGGGCTCCTGCTGTTCTGCTGGGCCTGGGCTACATCCTGCTGCCCGGGCTGCTCCGAGCCGCTCTCCCCGTGAGTACCCACCACCCTGCCCGCAGCCAACCCGTCTCCAGCCACCCCCCGCACCCCCTGCCCTGCCTGCAGCCAGCCCCACACCCCCTACCCTGTCCCCAGCCAACCCCTGCCGCATGCACCCTCTGCCCTGCCCGCAGCCAGCCCTGCACCCCCTGCCTCCAGCTAGCCCTGCCCCACGCCCCTGTCTGCAGCTGGCCCCTGCACTGATGCCTTGCAGTTCCCAGGGCAGTAACCCTGCACACCTGCTTCAATGAGGGGTGCAGGGAGCAGCTGGGACCCACACATGTGCACACCCTAGGGTGACCAGACAGCAAGTGTGAAAAATCAGGACAGGGGGTGGCGGGTAATAGGAGCCTATATAAGAAAAAGACCCCAAAATCTGGACTGTCCTGGAATTTTAAAAATTTCTCCTGGGAAAATACGGACGTGTGGTAACCCTATTGATACAAAAAATACATACTGTGGCACATCCCTTAAATCAGAACTTTTGATAGGGAACCGGTTGTTAAGATTTTGGCAGCTCATCACTGGACATGGGGCCTCCTTCCCTCAATGCAACCATATAGGAGACAGACTTATTGCTGGGCAGCAAAATCCACTCCTTCCTCATAAAGCCCAAGAGTTCTGAATTTATGTGGAACACCTTTGTGCCAGTGGCACGGGGTGCTGAGCCACTGTGTCCATAGTAACCTTCTAAACTGAGATGCCGGGCTGGCAGGGACACCCTTTCCACAGGGAACTGGGTCTGTGTGGGCACCCTTCTGTGACCACTGGGTATGCTGGCTCTTCTTCCCCACTGTGCAAAGTTTAAACAGTGTTGAGAGCCTCACCCTGTTCCTCTGCACATTGGTGAATTTCACTTCCAAGTTCAACAGAGGGCCCACTAACGGAGCTGGCAATGCTGCAGTCCCCAAAGGGAACATGCAGAGCTCAATGGGTTCCCTCTTGGAAATACCCTCCCTGCCAGCTCTAAAATTCCTTCCTCCATGATTTAACTCTGGATTGCACTCTGCTTTCCGCAGTATTCCCCCACACACCCCAGCAGTATTCCCTTCCCTCTGGCCATGCCCCCAGGTTCCTCCACCTCCATTAATACCCCCGTGCTGAAGCGGACAGGTGGATCACTGCTGGTTCACCAGTCCTGCTCTGAGGACTCAGAGGTGGTTCATTGGTATGAGATTGTCAGACTTCGAACTGTGGTGGTGTCATCTCTCCATGAACCACCTGTGGTTCACGGTCTGGGGCTGTAGCAGAAGGAAGGGAGCTGGAAGCTGTTCTTCTCATAGCCCTTCAACTACCAGCTCCCTTCTCCTGCTCCTTCCTAGCCTGACGGGGCAGGAGAGCTGGTAGCCAGGAGTGGTGAGGAATGCAGCGTTCACCAGCTCCCCTCCTGCTACTCCTGTCCCAGCTGGTCATTTGCTCAGTTGCAGAGCAGGGCTATAGCCAGGGCATTGCTGGGCAATTGCAGGGCATGTGGAGGGCTGTAGCTGGTAGAGGGGATACTATAGAGGGCTATAGCTGGAGGGAAGGAGGCAGAGACTGAGTGTCTTGTCCATAGGGTGACCAGATGTCCCGATTTTATAGGGACAGTCCCAATATTTGGGGCATTGTCTTATATAGGCACCTATTCCCCCCACCCCCCATTCGCTGTCCCGATTTTTCACTCTTGCTGTCTGGTCAACCTACTTGTTCGGGAGTACAGTTAAGGACCTGTGGAGCTGGAGTGGGAGAGTATTTCTGGGGATGGTGATGGGAGGGAATAATGGGCACCAGGGTGGGGGTTTAGGGTGTGGGGCTGAGAGGACAGGGGCACTTCTGGAGAGCAGGCACATACGGTGGGAGTTCTGGGGGAAGGGAGATACTGCGGTGCATAGGGGGCAGTTTCACCTGGTGAACTCAGGCGTTTGCTGCCTGAGGGAGTTGGCAGAGAGGAGAGCTGCTCCAGCTAACAGCCCACACTTTGGGCCAGCACGTTGCATCCACGCTGGCCCTCAGTCAACCGAGCCTGCACTGACTGGGGCTCTGTTGGGGGTTACCCTACAAATCACAGGAGGGCTAACTAGCACTAATTGTTGGCTCACTGAAAGTTATATGCCTGCCAGGGGTATTTCAATTGGCTGAGGGGAAAAAATGCTGTTTACCCTTGCAAATGCCTCCAGTATGGCGCAGGCCGTGCCTCGCTGAACAGGAGTGCGTGTGAAGCGAGCTACTTCTCTGAAGGGGAGGCAGAATCCAGGCTTCAGTGAAATACTGTTTATCAGATGCTTTGAGCTCCTGAGCTGATGAAAGCCGCTACAGTAGCCAGGCCAAAGCATTATTTTTTTGATAATTTTATTATCAGATTGTATAGAAGTTTTGTCCCAATGTCCCAGTATGCTTGAACACGTATAGCACTATATGACACAGCCCTTTGTTATGTCATAATGGAAAGCAAAAATAATTGGATAAAAAGCAAAGGATTTCTTCTCAAGCATCTCTGCAGTTAGTTATCGTTTGCTTTCACTAGTCTGCTATTGAAACTCCAGGATAAATACAATCCCGCAATGTGTTTCCTATGGTCTGTGCCACTGAAGGCCGGGGTAGCTTATTTCTTCTAGCTTTTCTTTACCTGTGTGTTTTTTTGCTAAATGTAGCCTCAGTGTTTAAGAAAGCAGGCAGGGCTTTTATTGTGAAAAGAGCCGCTTCAAAGTAGCTGGCAGCCCCCCCCTCTCTTCTCCCCTCCCCACAGGGAGGTGGGTCTGGACTGCCGGGCTGTTACACACTTTAAAACTAGCAGTTGAAGTTTGCCAGTTGTACACTGTGGATATGCACTAGCTATTGAAGTGCATTGGGCCCATAATACCAGATTATACTCCTCACACTCGTGCACCCATCCAGCACACGGCTAAGAACAGTTCCAGCAAGGAAAAAATAACACACACTGGACCCTTCTGTAAAGTTTGATGGCAACTTACCAGCAAGGATTTATGAAAACCAAACACTCTTTGGAATAATTAGCAGGAGGTAGAAATTGCAAAAAGCCCCGGCTGAGCAGTGCATATTGGTTGGGATAGGCACCCTGGAGTGACAACATCTGGTTGTAATTAAAAAGGAGATAAAAATGGAGAGAGGAGACATTGATTAGTAGATGAAGCTTTTTTTAAATTTTTGTGTGTGTGTGTGTGGTTTCTTCTGCAAACCCCGTGCAAAAGCCCTGCAAATGGATTATGCCTAAGAACCACAGGGTTTAGTTTCTGAAAAGGACAAGACTACAGTGTGCAGTGTCTTCTGCAGGAGATGAACATAGAAGGTGGCTAAGAAAGAAGAGGAGGAGCCCCTCTGTCTGCATTGCAAAGATATGGTATGATTTACATGCTTTACTGCAAAGCTTGTGGCGTAAAAAGGCGTTCGGGCTGTTAAGAAGCATTAGCCATTCAGGATAGTCATAGAATCAGCCAGGCAGGTCATTTTATTGTCCAAGGTGGTACTGAGAAAATTGGGCTTAGACCTGTTTAGATGGTTTGGTGCACAGGTAGGCAAACAAGAAGCTCATCTTCCCCCTGTTAAATAAACGTTGTCTGGATTCATTCTTTATAATTTTATGGCTGGACAGTCAAGAAACTGCAAAGAGGCTTTGAAATACAATTCCCCAGAGGTCAGTGGATAATGCTAGTCTGGTATATCTGGTTATTCAGAAGCACGCTTGCGCCAGTTTGCTCTGTTGGTCAGCTAGGTGAAACACGGAACATGTCAGCAGAGAGGGTTTAAAAAAATAAGTGTAGTCAAGAAACTGCAAAGAGGCTTTGAAATACAATTCCCCAGAGGTCAGTGGATAATGCTAGTCTGGTATATCTGGTTATTCAGAAGCACGCTTGCGCCAGTTTGCTCTGTTGGTCAGCTAGGTGAAACAGGGAACATGTCAGCAGAGAGGGTTTAAAAAAATAAGTGTATAAAGAAATAAACTATGCAATCTCTGGTGACATAGTAATAAATAATTAACTGAATAATTGTTGGCTATACAGACTGAAAGGGGATGGATAATGAGCCTGGATAGTGAATAGTGGAACTCTGCTACCGTTATCATATCTGTATGTACAAATTGATGAAAGGAGTGGGAAAAGAAATCTAAATTGAAATTCCTAAGGCCACACAATCAGCTAGTTTGCTGGCTTTTCCCTCTCCAGACTTCCAATTATAACCCCTCATGATCCTCGTTTTCTTTCTCCCACTCTGATGTGCCTACTTGAAAGGATGGGGCAAACTTAGAGCCATATGAAAATACAACATTCCTGTGGTGAAATGTTCTACCATTGTGTTTTGTCTGTTTTCACACTCATGACACACTGTTTCCATTACAGTTTCACCAAAAATTTTTTAATTTGGCTGCATAAAAAGTGCAAAATTGAGAAATGCCACACATTAAACCCAACTTTTCTACAAATGGTCCTGTTTTAACATGAAGATTTCCTGAAAACCAGACTAGTTTTAACTTGCAAAAAAAAAATTGCTCAGATTTGTGGCAAATATTTTGTTACCCACTAGTACAAACATGTGAGCCTGATATGGAATGAAACCAGTTTTCTTTTCTCCCCTCAGTATTGGGTTTCATGTTAAAGGTGAATTGTCTGTCTCTGTTCAAGATATTTGTGGTTCCTGTAAAACCTGCTACTTGTGGAGATACCCAGCACACATTATAGAACATGTCAGTTGTCAAAGTCTTAGACTCCCTGTCCACTGCATGGATTTGTAAACTATTATAAATCAAACCCTTCGTTTCTGTTCTGCCAGTCAACACCGTTTATTCCCAACTAGCCTGAGGGCATCATAGGATGGCGCTGATGGTAACAGTGCCTCAAAAACCCTGGCACTAGCTAGCCACTGACTAGAGAATTATATAATCAACAGCTATGCAAGAGTCTTTTGGAGATCAAGAATGCAGAGCTTTGTGTTTTTAAGGTGAGAGAACAATAGGACTTCAAAAAATGTGAAGTATTGCTGAGTTGTGCATTGACAAGTGCACATACTGAATAAACCCATACAGTTCATGGTGCAGCTGCATGGAACTACTGCTGTGGTATGATCTGTGTAGCTGAATGGTTTTGGTTAGTAGAGAGCTCAGCTGTGAATCTGACCAGTTCTGTTATCTTCAGCATCCAAGAGGTGATACTCTTAAGGTCTGATTCTGCAAACTCTTGGCATATGAGTAGTCCCACTTTTAGCCATGACAAATCACATGAGTAAAGTTACTCATTGGTGTAAGGGATGGCAGGACCGGGCACTCCATCATGAATGATCCAGATGGGAAAGTTCTGCATGGTAACAAATGAGGATTAGGCACTGATTTCTCATTTTTTAACTAATTAAATTTAGCAGCACTGGTGAGATGTTCAGGATTGTCAGCCCTGGAGATGCTGTGTGCCAAAGAGAAGTTCCTTATGCACAATGTGGGGACAGACATCACTGATCTGTTCAGGCGATATATTAAGATACACCCACAACCGTGTATTTTATCAGTTAAGGCTTGTGTCTTGGCACCTGAAATGAAAAAAAGGCAACCTACTTCCCTAACAACAGCATTTCTCCAGTGGCCGTACTGTCATGTCTTATGCGTTAGTCTAGAGGGTTGTTATTTTTTTTTTTATATAAAGCAAATAGCAAACCCGCCTCCCCACCCCAACCATCAGGAAGAATATGGATCAGTCTGTTTCCTCTCCTTCCCTGTAATCTCACAGGTGCTGGTTGTTACCATGGAGAACTTTCCCCTCTGGATCATTCATGATGGAGGACCAGATCCTGCCATCCTTTACACAAGTGAGTGACTTTACTCATGTGAGTAGTCTCATTGACTTCAATGAGACTTCCCCTTCTGTGTCTCTTTGCCTGTGTCCTCTTGCTCCCTCCCAGTCACATGAAGAGAGTAGAGCATTGGACCTTTGGAACCTGTCTCCCTTTGTGTCAGAGTCTCAGCTATAGTTAGGTGAGAGCAGTCTCCCTGAGGAGTTTCACTGACTTCAATGGGACGATTCACACAACGAGAGTCATCCCTGTGTAAGTGTTAGCAGCACTGGGTTCTAAGATGGCTGGGTGTTTCAGCCAGGACCTCCATGACAACCAACACTTCTAGTTTCCGTTTCCAGTCAAATGGCGTTGGGTTTGCCCTGCTGGACCGCTCAATACCAAGCAAGCCTCCCCCAGGAATTTGCACAGTAATGTATAGCTGTGGCACGGGCTTTTTTTAACTATTAGGTATGGATCATCCTTAATAAAGGATGCTTGACTTCTCACACAGCTACTTAGAATAGTAATTATAATCTCATGAGCCTTGAATTTGCCTTTTTATTAACACTCCCTCCCACCAAAAAAAAAAAAAAAAAGCTGATTTCCCATGACAAGCAGCCAGCCACATTGCCGAGACAAGGTCGGGTTCCGGAATGGCTAGGCTGGGCGCTACATGAGGAGGTGGTCCGAGCTGCCAAAGGACTTGCAGGCAGAAACCATGTGCCTGGGGGCTTGGCTTGTTTCACATTTATGGCTCCTCCACTGATGAGTTGTCATTTGGGAGCATTGTGGAACAGGAAGCTCCCGGGGACACTTACCCTAACTGAAGTAGAGCCTAATAAAAGTGGAGCCTGGTTCTAAAAGGTAAAGGGTCTGATGCATGTTCTTCACTCTGGTGAATGGCTGGGGGCTGGAAGATGGGGTGGGGGAGGGGGTTGCACAGGTGCAGCATGCTGCTGGGTAAGGCGAGGGGCCAACCCAGCACTGCGAAGGAACAGGAACACTGAGTTGATGCCCGCCCTTTCTCCTAGAGCTCCAGAACTGCTGGGTTTGGAGGCTGTGGTTACATGTTCTAAGGAACCTCCGGGTATATCCTAAACCCTCTGCCACCTGTGGGGGCAGGGGAGGGGGTTATTGCCACAGGAGGCTGGGATAGAAATTGTCCTCCATTTTCAGCATAAAAAGCATTTACTGGTATTTCAGTTTAGAAGCTATGGTAAGATGAGCTTCATCAGGGTCATAAGAACCTAGGATCCACCACGACAGTTCAGACCAATCGTGTGACCAGTCTGTTACCCTGCCCTACCCAGTGGGTGGCCTATTCTGAACACTTAAGAAGGTAACTTCTCACTTGCACCCCCCTGTACCCCTCCCCAATAATGTATGTGGAAAGTGGGAGCTCGGGGCTGGCCTCTAGCCTTACTTCAACCATCTGAAACCATGGAGCGTGATTACCCCTAAAACACCAGGTCAGACTACAAATGTAATTACGAATCACAACATTATAGCCAGACACTTAAAATCCGGCCACCGTATGTGACTCTCTGACCTCCAGCAGCAGTGAATTCCATAGGAGGACTATGTTCAAACTTATTTCCTTTATTATGGTTTTAAGTTTACCAGCCTTTAATTACAAGTGACTCACTTATTCTCTTATTGGGAGACAGTGTGAATAGGAGGGGCGATCAGATATTATTAATACTTGTACATCCCCAAATACTTCAATAAACTCCTCTCCTTCCTAGACTAAATAATCCCAGGATGCAGTTTAATCCCAGCACTGGACAGGTTTTTGCCTTTTTTTTTTTTTTGAGGGCTGGAGGAGTGATTTAAACTGGGGAGGAGGATACCTTTCTGAAATCCATACGGAAACAATTCTGTCTGCTTTCAATAAAGTCATCTGCGATGCAGGGCCTTCCGTATTAATTCCCTCCCTTTTCATCTGGGGTGCCTTGGAATGCTATGAATGTACTTCCTTGTTGTCCAGGAAGAAAAGATTGAAGAGATCTTTGCCAAACTGCTTTTGAGGGAACCTGACACTGTCCTCATTAGGCGAGAACTCTGTCGAAATGAGAGCACTGCAAGCCCTTTTGGAAACCGAATGATTGCTCTAAATTTTTTGTATTAATCTGGTGGTTAAAAACTAAAACTGAAAATAGGCAAATAAAAAAAATACCCCACAGAAAAATAAATAAAACTACTGCCTCATTGGATTGGGAGCCAAAATCTTAAATGATACTTTTAGCGGCTTTTCAGGCATTCATAGCAGAGGCTGGTAATCCCATCAAGATGGAAAAATATAAAAGAGGATATGGTTTTATGTAGTGCCCCTCACACACTGTCTACCCCAAAGTGCTTTGCAAAAAGTGCAGGCAGTGATTTTCTGCTACCTTGAAACTTTGTTCTGTGTCGTACAGACAGATGGCTGTCAGTTGGCTGCCTTGCAGTAGAGCAAAGATTTGAGTGGGATGAAGACAAAGGTACAAGCAGGAGTGTCTGTTCAGGGTGGGAGATGCTGAGAGAAAGGGAACCTTTCCAGGGTGGATCCAAGGTCCACTTAACCTGTTAGTTCACCAGGTGTGG